CCCCAAAACCCCAAAACCCCAAAACCCCAAAACCCCAAAACCCCAGTATGCTAAAATTACGTATGAATTGGATTATTTTATTTATTTTTTATTCATAGTAAAATGCTGTTTCCAGCGTTTATTAGCGACCTGTCTCTGGCTTGCTTGATTCCGCCATTTATGCTTGAACTTCTCATTTGAGATTAGATGTGTCCATTATTTTAGTACATAGGAGAATTTATTTATCCACCTCCTCCAATTATACCATTAGAAGCCTGATTGTATTAATAATCTGGCTATTAAATGGTGTCATACTAATGATAAAGAAGATTTGGAGTACCCTTTCCAAAATTATTTTATCTTTGATTTTATACAAGAGAATTGCGATTTGAGCTCATTTAATTAGCTGAATAATTAATGTTTTATTTCTCCAACAGAAGCTCTTTTGAATTGTTTTATGACAATATATTTTATTAAAGACCTGCGTCCCTAAGATCATCAGCAGTATAGTCAATTTAATCCTAGGATTTATTAGTATTACCTAATGACGTGAAATTTGATCTATTCTTCTGTTAGTCAACGATCAAACTATTGTTAAGATTAGCTCTGCTACCATAAGCGTTATTTGCTCCTTTATTTACATTACTGTATACATCTCTGACATCTCTTGAGAACCCATACTACTTCATTCTTTCCTAGTGCTCTTAGAATTTGTCAGGATTTTTCATCGGGCTTTTCATATTGAGCATTTGAACTTATTAGGATCCATCCTTACCTACATATCCAAACTAACTTCTATCAAGAATTTTCTTTTAATTTGAAACACCTGGAATCATAGAATACTGATTATTATCATAGTTTTTCCAAGCTATTAAATCATCTTTGTTCATTTGCTTCTCAACTTCGGTCATATTACCATGAGTTCTAATTTAATTCTTGATTGAACTTTACTAATCAAGCATCTCCTTATAAGCAGCTTATTTTTATTTTTTTAGCAATGCTTACTCTTCTTCCATTTATTTTGCTACATTTGTACTATTAGACATTTGTTAAGCAAGAATATCTTTGTCATTTACTTGATTCAATTATTGTTTTTACAGTATTTACATATTTAGACTATTTTAATTCTACAGTTTGATTAGTTATTTATTTCTCTCCTCTTATTATTGCAATGACATATTTCTTGTTTCAATCTCCTATTAATCCCTCATCTATCTAAAAGCTTCCTAAGATAGCTTATTTGCTTGAGGGCTTGCTACATATTAATTATAATTTTCTCTAATACGTCTTTGATTTTCATCAAATTACTTCAATCTGATCTGATTCTCATTCAATCTTTATTCGTAACCGCTAAAGTATGTGAGATTATTTTTTGCCCTCTCTTCTGCTTCCATATCAAGGTATTTTTACTATTCATCTTTAATTTATCTCATTCTTCTAGATTGGTTGTTATCCATTAGCAAAAGCTCTTTTTACATTCTACGTTTCTCAAGATCTGCTTGGTCCAACATCTCCTTTTATCTAAGGGCATTTTAAATGTTTTCATAATCACGTTACTACTCTTATCTCCTCATATCTTAAACAGCTTTATTTTTCTAATCAATTGTCATCTTAAGTTATTCACTCATTGACTGCTTTTTTTGCCTCTCCAATTCTTTTTATGCTTCCTCTATCATTTTAACATACTATGCTTCTTTCTAAACATTATCTCTATCAACAATTTTCTCCATTTCTAATATTCTCTTTTTATCTTCCTGCTATTGCAGCTCTTTCTCTAATTCTTATCTAAAATGATAGATAAACCATAATTATTATTTTTACCCATAATTTTGCATCTAATGTACTTTCACCTTATCTTAAAGTTATTTTTAAAGTTCAAAGGCTTCAACTTGTCTCTTAATTACTGCTCCCCACTCATCTATGTTTCCTTTACCATCTGTTGGATAATAACGTTTATTATTCTCTAACAATTGATTAATCTTTTCTTATTTTTCATCCATTGGCTTTTTTACTCCAAATGCTCTAAACTTTAGTGGATCAATCTATATCAAATAATTAGAGCTGGTGAGTAATAGTTACTAATTCTCCCATGATAATTTTTCTTAACCTATTAAATTAATAACTTTATTTACGATTTAATAATGAGCATAAAAACACTCACGGGGTTTTGGGGTTTTGGGGTTTTGGGGTAAAA